TGGTCTAAAACTACGGAACAAATCTTCCATTCTACTTCGAATGTGTTTGGCTTGGCATTTTTTAAGTTGCATAGGACCATGTTTATTAAAAAAACAGTTAAAGCAAACTGCATTGTATATACATCTTCCCTAGAGAGAAAGCACTAGAAATAACCAATCTACATTTGGTGTACTGCTAAGACACTCACACATCATATTTGTATGTATATCCTTGTACTGCTTGTAATACAGAAGGATGAACTAATGCCTTCATAGCCAAGACAGCTTCCAGCATTTAGGCACTGGTCAGGGCCACCAACATCCTGGTACTGAAAAGCCCAAGGCAGGCAGAATCAGGATGAAGTAAACTGTTCCAGCACAGAAACAGCAAGACCCAGGGCCTAGCATATGGCAGTAGTGTACTGTCCTAACAGATTTCAATTTCCAATATCAGAGCCTTGGAAGCTGACAAAGATGTACTAAGTATTCATAGGCGAACAAGGTTTTGACCTGGTGACCTAACTTTTAGGATCTCCTGCACAGGGAAGATCTAACCTATTAAGATTAGAGTATAAAGGCATAACCAGATCATCACAGAGTTAAGTGATCTCATCCAGGCAATTCAGTAAGTAAATGCTCTCTCTATAGAACAGTTAGAAATCGTGCTAGATTACTTAATCTGTTAAGAGTGCATAAGTCTCATTACAGTTATAATAAAAAGGATTTGAGGGGAAATAAGCTTTGCCCTGGAAAAAAACAAGCAGCCCAGTCCTTCAGAACTGATGTTCTGCTCAACAGAAAAAGAAAAAATCCTTAAAGGTTTCCTGAAGTTCAGCTAACTCAAAGCCCATTTCTCATGTGGGAACATGCAGAGCTACCTTGCAAAAGGTCAACTGTCATTGACTTTCAGCGAGACCTCTGACAGGTCACTTTGTTTCCGCACCACTAGGACAGTTAGCTAATGCTTATAGTGTGCTTTAAAGATGTGCTAAAATTTATTATTGATAACTGAATCAGAAGCAAAAAGGAAGAGGCCTCAGGTGCGTAACCGTTTGGAAAAGCTTTTCTCCCCCCTTCATAGACAGTCACCTACCCAGATTTCCTGACTCTCCTTGTAGACTTCCTTTTCCTCAGTCTTCTCAAACAGAAGAACAACCCCCGGGCTAGATGAACATGCAAAGCCTTTGGAATAAGCTGCAACTGCACGTATTTGAGGCAAAGAATCCTGCTGTGAGCCATTATCATCAGAGAGCAGATCACAAGAGATATCAGAAGAATCGTAAGCAGGAAATGCAGTAAGACTTAAGAGGAATAAAAAAGGACAAAGCAAAACAAAAATTCATATCAGCAGCAACCAAAATATTATAACCAATTCATAAAATGGACAAAAAGGAAATAAATGAAAGACCTGCAAGTAATTTTCATGCACAAGCATGAATCTACTAGTAATGGCCGCAAAGACTTACCTCCCAGGTTCTTTTGTTGTTGCATCTTCTTCTGCTTCCCTGGGTGGTATTTTGTACTCAACACTTGTCTCCCAGCGCACCTCTCCACTTTCAAATATGATAAGTTTGCCTGTGTCAGTGCCACATACAACCTTCTCCGCAGACAGCCAGGCATGGCATAGGTAGTTTTGCGGCTCTCCCTTTTGTAAATTCGTTGCCTTCAAAGTTCCTTCACTACATCTAAAAAGTTTAAAAATGCCATTTCCAGTGATACAAACCTGTGCATTGTCTTGAGGACTGAAGCTCACCTGTGGAACAGAGGAGAGAGAAATTATTTCATTCGACTATGTACACTCTCAGAGCTTTAAAAGCAAATAAGCAAATATAACACCTGTTCCAAAGACTTCAGATATCAGAAACAGGAAGACAAGCTAGGAAAAAAGGTTCACAGAAAGAGACAAAAGAGACTAAGAAATAACCACCATTACTACATACTGTAGTTTTCTTCTTTTCCAAACTAAGTGTACCAATTTTACACAGAATGTTATAAATAAATTCTATTAAGGTAAGAAGCCAGATGAGGCCATCTGAATCACAATGTAGTATGGAAGAGGAAGTAGATTCTGCCCTTGGGATCAAATGACAGAAGTAAGGCCAAAATACATCTTTCCAGCTGACCAGCAAGTTTCTCAGGTTGCAGGCTATTCATTCTTAAAGGCCACATGGAATTTCTGTATCTCAGGAGAGGCAACTCTTATCCATTACACATATTAATTTGCATAATTAGGTGTTTATTGGTGAAAACAGAGGAGCAGCCGTCTCAACATCTAATATGAAAAGATAGCAGGGGTAGAGAGACCTAGGTTTTCATGCTTAATGGGACTTTAGACAGCAGTGATCTCCTCGTCATTTTCTCCTAGTCATTTTTCCTAGTCATTTTCTCCTCTGCAGGAATGGAGCTCATGAAGTTAGTATTTCACCCAATCTCTGCTTGTAGTTGTACCTCAACCATTCTGTGATTCTGTGATGTGTTAGGCCTACTGAGCATGGCCAATATATTTAATGGGTGTTCCTGCAGGGACACAACAAACAAACTGCATATACGCGGATCAGCTGTACAGCCCACATACCACAGATCTCGTGTGATTTAGGAACATGGACGTCCATAACGGGTCAATGCAAAAATCCATTTAGCTCAGCATCCTATTGCTGAGAAAGGCCAATAGCAGATGCCAAGAAAGGCTATGGAAACTGTACATAATCTACAGTGCAGATCCCTCTCCTCCCTCTCAGGCCCTAGAAAGAAGCTAAATGACAACGGGAAAACTCAGGACCCCTTGATCTAAACAAATACCAGTTTCTAGGTCAGTAATTATATTATGCTTATCTGTCAGAATGAGACCGGACATAGGACTTAGCTGAGTTGTTTTTTAGTTAGAAATTATCTTCCAAATCTTTAGAAGCTTGAAGGATACTCTGACTGGTGACAGAATAATACACTTTGCACTTATTCTTCAGACTGATGTAATTTCCACATGTTATAGTGGAATATTTAAGGGGCTGTTGATCTCAATTCTCTTGGCTGATTTGTTGTCTACAAGAAACTTTGTTCATTTTTAGAGTGCTAATTTGTGGCTGTTCTAGCTCCCCTTTTTAGAATCCCAAAAGCCTAGAGTAATTTAGGGTAGAAGGGACCTCTGGACGTCATCTGGTCCAACTCTCACCTCAGAGGAGGTCTTACTGGATCAGGCCACTCAGAGCCGCGTCCAGTCAAGTTGTGAGTATCTCCAAGGACAGAGACAGTACATCTCTCTGGGCTGTTTTCAAGTGCTCCACCACCCTCACTGTGATTTTTTTTTGCCTTGATATCCAGGAAGGAATTTCTCGGTTAAGCAGCTTGTGACCATTGCCTCTAATTATTTTGCTGTGCATATCTGTGAGCAACCTGTCTCCGTCTTCTTTACAATTCCCCCACTGGGAAGCTGGTGATAGCAATTAGCCTTTTCTAGGCAACCCCCACCCCCAGCTCCCTCAGCCCCTCTTTATAGGTCAAGTGCTCTCGTCCTTGCGCTCGTGGCAACTCTGAGCTGGTTGTGGTATCTGTAGTAAGCCCTTATTCTTTCTCTAGGTTGTCTTTTATCTGTATCATGACAATTTTTGAGTGCTGCTACCTGGCATGTGGTACTTCTTAATCTGAAATTTCAACTTTTTTCCCCTCCATTTTGAAATGGTGCAAAAGGCTCCCTTGGGCCAACTGCCAAAAGAATCAGTCATCTGTGAATCACAAGATTATGAATGAGTGGCGGAAACCCTTCCAGAACAGCCCAGCATTGCAGCGACTCGGTTTTAAAAACAGACTTCAGTGCATCCCCTGTCTCCCAGAGCGGACGGGGGGAAGCTGGGAAGAGGCCCCGGGCCCGGCAGCGCCCCGATGCGAGGGCCGCAGCCGTTACCTGGCAGAGGC